CTCTCTCTCTCTCTCTCTCTCTCACTCTCAAATGTTGTCACTTTTTTCCGGACAGATCAGTTGCGTTCACGGATCTTCTGGATTTTTCAGCTCCACATATCCACGAAGTCACGCTGCGTTCAGGTGCTTTTTGAAAACCGGGACGTTTGACATGTATATGTGTCATTTAAAGAAGTTGTATAGAAACAGACAAAAGTTAAATCTCGACCAGAAAACGAACCGACACATTTCACCTGATGCTCATTCATGATCTCATTTATCGTAAAAACACACTGTCATGAGCCGTGACGTGTGTGACGTGCTCTGACGTCATATTTAACTGTTGGAGCAGCTGGTCAGAAAACATCTGGAAGCTGCAGATGTTTGTTTCTTTAAATCTTCCTCCTCCTCCTCTTCCTCCTTCGTCACGGACACCGGGCCAGTTCCGGTTCCTGTAGCCGCCGCCCCGGTCTCCCCCCCCCCTCTCTCTCTCTCCCTCTCGCCCTCTCGCCCTCCCTCTCCACCTCCACCTCAGGCCGGCGGACGCTCCTCCTGCTGAGCCCCGCTGAGGAGGCCTGGTTCCCGGGGAGATGCTGTAGCAGCAGCCGCTGGAGGAGATGCTGGTCCCGGCCTGAAGAGCAGCGGAGCAGCAGCAGGAAGATGTCCGGCAGGAAGCCTCTGACCCCGGTGAGCGAGTCCGACCAGGCACCGGTGAGTCTGCTCCAGCCTGATTATTGACTCTGGATCATTCTTGTCTTTTATTATCGGTTGGTTTTGACTGACGCAGATGAATGAAGATGTTTTATCATTGAAGGAGTTTAAACATGTAGAAATATCCCTGATTAAATAAATTATACTTTATTATTTAATTATCTCATTAATTATGAAATGTGAATTGTTGTTATTTCTTCGTTTTAATGGCGGTGCACTGACATTTATTTTATTACTGATGAACATTTAATGAGTTTCATCATTGATTTTTGACGGTTGACAGTTTATTATATTGTCAATGTACATTTTATTTTCGTATTAATGCAGTTTAAGTATTTTTCATTGCGAATGGAGCTTTATTTTTAACTATTTGAAAAACTAAACAGACCGTATCACTGCATTTCTTTTACTGATTTATTATTTATGTGTTTATCACATTTATAGTTTATTTTACTTTTGGGAGTTGAGTTGTTCGATCATCATTGAGGTTCATTATAATAGATTATTATTATTAGTCAGTTTAAATTGGGACGAACAGTTTGGGTGAAACCGGTGGAAACGGTCTGATCAGGTTTGATGGATCCACAGAGTTCAGCAGATCGGTGCCTTGCTCAGAGGAACCTCGGCAACACTGACCGGTATAAACCGTCAAATATCAAACTGTGGCGTCAGAGGACGTGAGACTCTAAAACTGAAAGTCAGTTTATATTTACGCTAGCCACCATCTTGGATCAGCTGATTGAGCCTTCAGGTCGTTTCCTGTCGTTCTTTTACAAACTGACTGAATCAATTCTGTCGCTGATTTTAAACATTTAAAACAAATAAAAATTAATTAGTTTAATTTAATTAGTTTGATTTATTTGTACTGAGAGCATCAACTGAACTCGTTGGGGGGGGACATTCAGGTGAGGGGHGGAGCCTGTAGAGCAGCAGGAGGCGGGACATGGCGTCTAAACTGTGTAAAGATCAGTGTTGTTGTTTACAGCTCGTCCACACGGCGTCGGCCCTCATCACCAAAACATCTGGAACGTCCTCGTCTGTCCAAGTGGACGTCTTCGTCTTCTACGAGATATTTGTGTTCTTCAGTTTCACGTCCGTCACGTGTTAGAAACCTCAGAGACACGCCCACTCACTCACTGAGAAGGCCCCCCCCCCATGGTTGGGGCGTTCTTCTCATAACATGACAGTCTAACATTTGATGAAGGACAAAACCTCATCAACGGACAAGTTTTCTTTTTTTTCTTCTTTTTCAAATTTTACAGATGTTTTACTAGAGGCTGCAGGAGAAGATCCTCAGGAACATGTCAGGAACATGTCAGGAACACGCCAGCAACACGTCAGGAACATGTCAGGAACATGTCAGGAACACTTCAGCAAAACGTCAGGAACACGTCAGGAACACCTCAGCA